ATCTGAATGATAAGAAGACAAACATGGGCATTGAGAAGCTAAAGTCGCAGGTCCATCTTGCAAAAGAGCTGCATTACAAAACAACCCCTTCTCGGCGCATCATAGCGTGAATGAGATTAATTGGTGTCACTTGCCGTCCCTAGGTCTTCATGATATACCTTTGACTAGCAATGTGAAATCTCATTCCCGGATTTCACTGTTATAATCTACGCATTGTTATTATTGAACGTTTATGTTATTTTCGGGAATTTATATTAATTTATTTGAATTTAGATTTTAATTAAACCAATTGCGAAGTTTGAAGTTTGGAAATTAATTATTTAAAATCTGTAGATCTTTTGAGGTCACAATTTATATTTCTGAATAGAGCTCGATCCCACGAACGCATAGTCGAAAGCCGTTTGTGAGTCCGGATTATAACGGTATAGTTACGGATATTTGAAGTTGTGATACTATAGATTTTAGGAATTAATTATCTCCCACTTTGTGGGTAAGAGGCCCATATCGATATGAGGTTAAGGGGACCATCAGAATTGAAAAAAAAAAGAAAGAGGGGGAAGCAACCAATGAGGAGGAAGAGGAAAAGAAAGGGAAAAGAAAAGAAAAAGGAAGAAGAGACCTCCTCTCCCGTGTGTACACCCGTGCCCCCACCCGAGCAAATTTCGGTGATTTTCACCATCTTTTCTGTCGAACCACCACCATACAACACTTGAAACTTCTTCTACACATCCCTTCTACCATTTTCACCCAAGATTGTGGGTTTTTAGGTCAAAAATCGTGAAGAACAGTGCGAGGAACCCAGAGGTGTTTGACAACGATTTGGTCATTCTGGCCAGTTTCACCACCCATCAACACCTTCAATCAACTCCCCTTAGACCTAGGAACAAGATCTACCCAGTGGTAGGGGCGTTGGAACATCGAGGAAGGAGAATCGAATAACACTCACCTTAGGGTTTCTGGTGGGTTTGAGCTAAATTGGGGCTTTTCCCGGCTAAATTGGCTTTGGCCACAGGTATAAAGTTTGCTCTACTCACTGAGATCTACCTGCCTGTAAAATTTAGTAATTTTTAAAAATAGTTGAATGTTTCGGCGAGTCGAGGTGGTTGACCGCCACTTGCGGCGGTGCGTGGCCAATGGGCCACCGATGCTATTTTACGCTAAATTGATATCTTGATGTCAGAATTGATATCCATATGATGTGTTTTGATTATTGTGAACCTAGTTTGATTAAGGTACATTACTTGATCATTATATGAATCGATGATCCGACTGATGGATCGCGATAAGAATTTAGTATGTGGTTCTATGAACATAATGTGGACTTTGGGGAGTTATGGATTGGAAAATCGATGTACGGATCTTCCGGATCGAATTACGTAGGGTTGTGGACCCTACCGTTGATCGATAGTTGACTTTTGGTCAACATGTCTCTACATGTTTAAATACTAAATCTAGTACCACGGGATACTAGTGGGGCCACATTGGTTAGAGAGTGACTGGAATATATGTGATATAATTATTACCTTAATTTCTTATATTGATATCATTTGTGAATATGATTTGGGTTATAAATGAAATTTATATTGAAATGCGAATTATATGTATATATATGCCAAGGACCTATGTTTATTAAATGTGAATTCTATTGAAGTGTTATTTTTATTTCTGGCCATTGATCTATTTTCATTAAGTATGATTTGACTTGTGCATTGGAAATATGGTTTATATTGTATGATTTGATTGATGTGATGAAATGTGAAGGCTAGTAGTGGACCGTTAACCCATTGTCATGGGGTTTGTTGCTTCGAAACATGTGTCACCCCTCGTGTCATTATTTCATTCTCATTTCGTTGAGTCTTTGTGACTTAAGTAACTTGATCCATGTCTTGTTTCACTGATTGGTGTTATGCATTGTACTCTGCGATTTCGTTAAGTGATGGTCCGGAATCGTATCCTGGTTGGATTCCATTGAGTGATGGTCTGCAATCGTATCCTGGTTTGGATTCCGTTATGTGATGGTCTAGAATCCCTTTTGTTGTCTTGGCTCTATTGAGTAGTCCGAAATCCCATTCTTCCGAGATATAGGCTTCGGCCGAACTGTGTCGTTCTAGCCCTGCATTCGATGAATGGTATGTGTTATTGATGATGTGATGCTTGGCATTATTGTTTAATGTGATTATGGAAGGATGTGGGTTATGGTTATTGTAATTATGATTAGACTCGTTGACCATTGTGACTAGTGAATATGATTGTGCTCCATCGTTTGTTCTTTGTAATATTGTATGATATGCATTGTGATATATTGTTGAGACATAGCGATTTATGTGATGAATGTTCGAGTATAGTGAATTGGTGAACTACAAAGGGCTTGATCCATGTTGAGGGTGCGTAGGCAGTCTAACGAGGAGGTTAGATGCAGCCATAAAATATTCAGAAATTACTACGCAATTTGGACCTTGAGTGGTGCTTTATTCATGTCCCGGAGGCAGGGTATGTTAGATATACAAGTATTTGGTGAAGTCACATGTTGATCCTGGACATATTTCGGGATCAGGGCATGACAAGCAACCTACATAGGCACGGGTCACCGGATTGCTCCTGAACTCGTCCTTGGCCAGTAGGGTGATAAAAGCATTTGTGCATGAACGGGTACAAGACTCTCAATGCATATACATAGCTTGCAAAGATTCCAGCTATGTGTTTTTTTTTCTGCTTGCCTGGCACATATTGGACAAAACCAAACTACCTGCTGAAACGGTGAGGATTATAAGGCTAAATAACACATCAGTCTCTTTGCAGTAAAGAAACATACCCAGAGCGAAGACTTGTAAGATAATACAAATCTGAGAAACGAAGGTGTGAATCTTTTATGAGGCCTCGCCGCGCCAAGCCAACCCTTGCTAGATGGTCAATTCTCAAACCTTCACAGCTTCTAAACAATGCATGCGCCTGCAAATCATCAAGGCTCTTTCTAGAAAGCATGCTAGAGTACTTTGTCATCAAAGGCCCCATCTTGGCCGAAGTTAATGAAGAAGGCCCCAACTTGTCTGAAGTTGATGAAGAAAAATGAGTGCCAAAGTACTCACCTAACAAACCGTAGTGGTAGGGAAGTGATGTAGCACGATCTTCGGTGCTCGCTGAGTTCGAAACAACATTCAAGCCATCATAAATATTGGCTAAAACTGGAATAGCAAGGTTGAAACAAACATTCACCTGCAGCCTCTTGTTAGCCACTTTAAAGACTTCGAGGTAGATAAAGTTGACGTCATCTTTGAAGAAAACAAACTTACAAAGCCAACAAGCTAAGAAAACGGCTAGGTAAGATTCTTCCATGTGCTCTGACGCTACGCCAAGATCCCCAAACACTTTCAACTCAGCAGAAGCACGGCGCCTAGCTAAACCAATGGTACCTGACGGATCTGAGTCTCCCTTTGGTTTAGTGGTCTTGTTGTGACCACTTTTCTTCAAGGGCTTCTTGTACTTCATGGCATCCCAATACCAAAATTGGATCTATGAAGAAATCTTCATGCCTGAATTACCCTAAGCCTCTTAGGAAAGCTTGTGATATGCCCAAAACAAATAACAGCAACTTGCAGGCAATCCTCGGCTATTACGATGAGAAAATTCTTCAACGCCAGGAACAACCTCGTCGTAAAACTTACCCTGAATCAAGAAGCCTCCTATCTTGTGGAGATCCCAAAGTGATATCGACATCTACCCTTGTGACGTGTGAAGTGTGTTGGGGATACTTTAGAAGACCACGACTTAATATGCATCGAGTTGTCTTTGGCAGGAAGAACAAGCGCCTTAGGGCCAGTCAATGGCACACAAAGTTTCAATGTCATTCCCTTATCTTGCGAATCGCCTTCCTTCGAAAGAATAGTGATGGTATTGCCCTTAAAACACTTGAAAAATATCATGGCTGCAACAAAAAGAAAAGAAAAAAAAGGAAAAAAAAAAGACAACATAAGAATAAGGTGGGACGGCAAAGAAAACAAAAAGAGATTGCTTCACTAAAGCAAGAGACATGCAAGAAAAACCTCGTAAGCGTTGGAGAACGACGATGACAAAGTCACAACAACAAAAGGAACTCAGCCACAAAGCTTGAGCAGCATGGCAAAAAGGGCAGCTACAAGATGGTCCTTTAAAGCATGCTATAGTAGCAAAGAAAACTAAAGTGCTACGCAATCGCACTACACAACCCCGCAGCGATTACGCAAGTAGTTTCTTGCACTACACAGATTAACCCCGTTGCAGTCTTTTGCACAGCACCATGCGGTAAAAAGTGCCGCACTGCAACAAGCACCAAACAACAAAACTCACGGCAGTAAGTAGCAATTGCACATGGCACAGCAGCAAGCACAATGGCAATGCATGGCAAGGGTAGTTTGTGACAAAAACACACACCCAATTGCCCTATAAATAAGGGTCAATTGCTTCCTAATGCTATAGGGAGAATACATACCAAATAACAATAGGAAAATCAAAACAAGGAAGTACATTCCAGCTGCAAGAAGAAAACAATTCCAAAAAAAAAAAAAAAGAGAGAAGCTGATTTCAGCCATAAAGGAAAAAAAAATGTTGTTTTTTGCAACAAAAAAATCAGCAAAGAAAAGAAAAGGAAACCAAAAAAAAAAAACAAAAAGGAAAAAGGAAAGGGTTTCAAAATTTCCAAAACAACAAAGGAAAGTACACTCCTTGCCAAAATACAAAAGGAAATCCCTCCGAGGGATTGGATAGGAATAGATAACTCCCTAATTTCAAGGCATACTGAAAGCATAAGTAAATGATTTTTTATTTGGAGGGGACTACAAGAGGATTAGACATGAAGAAAACTCATTCCTTTTAATCCTACCATTTTGGAAAGGATTGGAATAAATAAGTTTTCTTCATGAGTAATTCATCTTCTACTCTCTAGTCGGACATAATTTTTTCATTACTCACCTCAATGAGTCTTTAAATTAGAGAGTTATCCATTCCAATACAATCTTAGATACCAAACGAGGCCTTACCCTTTGGCATTTACGTGGTATTGCAATAGGTAGGTCTCATTTTTCACTCGAATAAAAAAAGAAAAAGAACATGCTGGAGCATTTTCGTACAAAATGTTACAAGTTATCTCCATTTGATTAAGTTGCATTCTTTGTTGGATCCATATCTCTTAAATAGTTTAATTTGTTCTTATTTTTTTTTTTCTCTTTTTTTTTCTCCTTCCACCTTCACTCAATTGAAAAATGGAGAAAAAAAATTGCACTGGAAGCATAAAATTTTGTGGAGAGTGACCATGGAAATTGCTTTTTCTTCTTTGTACATATTCACCAAATATAGTGATGTTAAAATGCCATCCCTCTTTGCAGCTTGAGAATTATGTGTTTTTTTCAGGCTTGTTTTTCTTTCTCCATTATCTTCACATGAAAACCATTTGGAAATTGTAAACCCGGCGTTCGGATTATATCTCCTCCTTTGATTGGTTCCCACCTAAAAATTTTGGATGTAAACATGTAATTAGTCTCCCTCCCTCCCTTAGCAAATTGTAAAAGCCGGCGTTCGGACATTCTTACCTGCACTTGGTAACCAAGCAGTGTAGAAATACAGCCATCTGCACTTTAGTAAATTCTGTTCCAACACAAAATCTCATGCCACCACCAAAAGCCATGAAATGTTTGGATGCATTGCACACTTCTACGCCCTGCATTAATCCATTTTTGAAGTACAACTGAGGACTAAAATTATGGTACCAAAAAGAAGATTGCAGATGAACTAGAACTGTCCATTCTCTCATATTGAACTGACCTCCCATCTCCATGGATTGAAGGCTACTGGGTTTTCGTATGTGGCTGGGTTTAAGTGTACGGCTGGTGGACAAACCATAACTGCCCAACCTGCTGGAATTGTATATCCTGAACCACAACAAACGTGTATAGCAAGTAAAATTAGGATGACTTTCATGATTGCAACTTTATTGTATAATTGCAGAAGAAAAAGATATATCACTCCTTAATCACTCCTTACATACCCTTAAAATTTATTTCCCTCACTGCTTTTCGAAAGATGCCTGGAACTATATTTGCCAGCCTAACTGTTTCGCTGATGACCTGCAAGTTGAAACTGTCAGTTTGTAAGACAGAACTAGGAACATGAAATTCTTTTTTCTATATTTTTTTTTTTTTAAGAATTGAAAGTTGAAGTGTGAGACTCACCTGAAACGTGAATTTCATTGATTTGTACTCTTTCCACGTGAGTCCAGAATCGGAATTTTCCCTTTGCTTTAAAATCATCTCGTGCTCTTCCTGTCACAAGAAAAAAAAAATTTACCATGTTTTGAAATGTTGAAATCATTCACTAGGATGGTTTGAAATTTTTTTGTCGCACCGTTAATTGCTTTAGCACAAGGGGATGGTCTGTAAGAAACTTCATGGCTAATGTTATAGCCAGGGAAGTTGTTTCAAAGCTAGCGAAAAGCAGCACAAACATTAAGTCCAAAGCAATTCCCTCTGTAAGTATTGTTCCCTCTTTCTTAAGTTCTTCAAGCACGTAATCGAAAAAATCAATTGGCTGCTTCCGGGACTCTGCTCGTCTTTCCTGCAGCATGTTCTTGAGCATTCTCATTGCACTTTTCCTACCCTAAGAATGTCAAAACCAAGATAATAAATTAGATACTAGAATCTAGAATGCTTTCACTATTAAACTATTTCGTACTAAAACCATTTAAATTTTTGTGGCTAATTAAATGCAACAAACAAGTGTTATGGTGCAAAAGAAATATGTTTACCACTAAACATTTGTGATAAGCTGTTCCAGGGATGTCCATAGGAAAGGAGATCAATCCTTGTATGAACGCGACAAAGTTTTCCCGTAAGTTCTCCGAGGACTTATTTGACTCATAACTAATAAGTTTCTTTGCAGTGAGATCAAATATCATCTGCGAACACCAAAGATAATCAGACTCAAAAGTTCAAACCAGATACTAAGTTTTAGTGAATGCTAAGTCAAAAAGAAGAAAGGTTATCAGAAAAATACGCTTGCAATTGAGTCTTTTAATTCTGTACTGTCCTGAGATGACCATTGTTGTAACCTGCTGAGTGCTGCCTGTTCAATTTCCGGGATCATTTTCTTAAGGCTTTCAGGGCCAAACAGATGTAGGACCATGTTCTTGAGGTATTTGTACATGACCCCATGCAAGGAGCCAACATTTTGTCTGCCAAAAATCTCCGTGAATGTATCTGGATACCAACTTTGGAACAAATTTCCCTCTTGTTGGAACACAAAGTAATTGAGATCCGGGTCAGTTGATACGATAATTGGCCTTCCCACCAAATTACTCCTGAAAATTGGTCCGTATCTGGAAACAGAAAAATTCAGAATGCATGTTAAAAATATGAAAGAGAAAAGAGAGTCGAAGATTGCAGGAGGCAATGATTTTCATGCTCTTAGTTTCTCCTGCCCTACACTCATTGTTTTCCATTGATTCTCATTTGATTTATTCAATTCTGAGACTAGAAACAAGGAGAAGAGTACAGAAGGAGAAAAAAGGGAGCGTGCAAATCATTTCCCGCATAAATTATCACAAATTTCACCTTTTCATCCTTTCCTTGATGAAGGGAGGAATATCAGAAGAGGTGTTGGGAGTGAAGAATTGTAAAGTTTCCCCAAGTAGTGGCAATCCCATTGAGCCTGGTGGAAGTTTGCCATTGCATTTGGGATTTCTCCACCTATAAACCCAATGTGTAATGCTTATAACAACCAATGCTGTAATGCCCCATGCCCACATCTTTTCAAACTCTCACTTCTACTTCAGCTTCAAGAGATCTTGAAGTGAAGACTTAACAACAGATTTTTATGCTGCTACAAACACTTGATTTTTGACAGAAGAGGGGAAAAAATGGACAGCTTGAGATTGCTTGAAATGAAAGAATGGGCAGAGAGGAAGAAAAGGAAGTGCTGGCATGTATCTGATTAGGAGATCTTCTTAAATAGAAGACATTTTCTCATGCAACTAAGTTTTAGTCTCAATAACGTCACTGTCAATTAAACGCTTTCCAAGTATTCAAAAAGTGCATATAAACCAGTCATCAACTACTCAAAAATATTAGTAATATTACATTCCAGCTTTCTTTTGTATTGTAAATTTGGTTGCTCAATTATTTATTGGTTGAAGATAGAATAAATATTTATGGATTAATTCTGTCTAGAGAATACTTATAACCCTTTGTCAACCCCCTCTAGAGAAATTTGATTAAAGATTAAGCGTTGCATGACCATGAACCTCACAGGATGCTTCCTCTCTCTCTCTCTCTCAATGATTTGAGGTTATTGACAGGCCAGAATTCAGGCCATTTTTGAGGAGATTTTACAGGAACAGGACAGTTCCCTAGATTTTGAGTAGATAGAGGTTCACAGCATGTGTCTCTAATGGGTTTTACCAATATCTGAAATCATATCAAATATCAATGCTAAATATGATACAATATCTATGTGACGTTGCAGTTTCATTTTCTTTGTTTCTTAATTTGTTTGTTAGACTAAGATCTCTCCCTAGATATTTGCGTGATGGATCATACTCTCATACTAGCAAATATCAAACCCTCATTAATCTTAATGCATATATCAATGGTGATCTCAAATGGATTCAATCTTAATGCATGTATCAGTTGTGATCTCAAATATTGCAACTACCACTTGTGATTTTGTATGCATTTGCTTATTTGGTCTAAATAATGTCTACTAATATACGGACGCAAACAAAGTATGTGTGAAAATTTTTATTTTTATTTTTTCATTTTTCATTTTTTTTATTTTTTATTTTCTTTTATCAGAGATATGTTAAAATCACATGTAGGTGAGGTTTTGGAAAAAAACAGCAAAATTTTGTTTGTGTGAAGTTACATTTCTGCCCATATTTTTTATTCATATTCAGTTTTAATTAGAGGGTCAAATTGATAATTTCATAGAATTTTGGTTGACAATGAGGGTTGTATTAATATGTAGTTTAGTTAATGCTTAATTTGGACTTAGTAATGCCTAATTTGGTTTAGTAGCCCAACCTGTAGTATATTTGACCTAATTTGATCTTAATATAATGCTAATAATTTACCGTCTAATCTTGATAACCATCCTCTATATGAATATTAAGGTCCAAGTTTATTAGTGTTGATGCCAAAATTTGAACCAATGTAAAGTGTGCTGACTCTGCTAGGGAGAAAGCCATGAGTACCGGTGTTACACCAGTCCAAGAGCTTCTGATGCTTGATAGTGACACGGGTCCCTAATTAGTTAGTTCCATGACTGGTAACAAAGGAGACCTCTCATTTGTTACAAGAATAACCAATCAATGCTCGTCACGTAAATTGGTACTCTTTGGTCCTCGGCAGTTTCCATATTGAGCATTTGTCAATCTTCCTACCCGTCGGCGATGTTGGACGATCTGTCTGCACAAGGGAATTGTTGTTGATTGACAAACGTCATTTAGCTACATCCACCCAAGGCCCTTCGGTGGATATCGATAGGTGGATCCTGAGTTGGGTCAGTAGAATCACGAATGGTCGACATTCATACAAATAAATCGCATAAATAAACCACAACTAACTTGTAACTCAAGCAATTAAAAACATTTATCTTACACTCGAGGTCTTAAGTTATAATCCTCCTCCCCAGCTTGTATCAAAGGGAACAGAATGATTATTTTAGCCAAATATGGACACTAGTGTAAATTTTGGGTAGAAACTTGCATAATCTTTAAGAGTAGGCATGCTAATTTGACTGCATTGACCCATTTGGACACATAGAGCACCGCCCCATTGAGCCACGGACTGAACGGGAAGCAACAACTGCAACCACAAGTGTAGGTGTAGGTCACTGTACGTGGACCATGATCCACAATGATAAGCAGTTTCATTATATATAATACGAGTATTCCAATCAGTCACCATACCACAGGAGAAGGCAATTTTCACATGTACATCAATTAAACATGTTAGGCTATGCTTAGGGCTTATTTAGAAAGCATAAGGATGGAGATCCTCCAACTTTGACTGCGGTGATTTTTTTTTTTTTTTTTTTTTTTACTAGTTTTAAACTCATTCAACCATCTCAAAACCCTTCTCAATACTCAGAAAATATTATATGTGCATTTGCATACAATACAAATATAGGATGACACAGATTACTTAACTACTTTGGTTTTTATATGAAGATTAGTTAACTTCTTAAGGCTTGGAAAGCTTAATAAAAAATTGCAATATCCATTATAACCTTTGCAATCAAGGGAGTTTTAATATTTGTGTTACAAATCAAGAATATTATAGTAATTCAAGTTGCAAGAGTTTTAATAGGTTAAATTTTAATTTTACACTCAGCTTTCTCTATTTTGCTCCCTAGCTTTTCTCACGTATATTCTCCTTTACTGCAATTCTTCCTAAGCATAGGTATAGTCTGGGTAGAGATTGTTAATATTATTAATGATAGGAACTATTATTAACACTCCAAAAATTTCATTCTACAATCCTCATAAGTGTAGTTTTCTTACTAATTATAGAAAGTTTCGAGTGCAAAATGAGATTTTTAGAGTGCCAATAACAATTCCCTTAATGATAGCTGACGATCTCTTAGACCTTTAAACTTTTTTTAGTTTTATTTCCAATTTGTTTGATTTATTTTCCTTATGCGGAGCAAAATTCAAATTTAAAACCTCAAAATACACGAGTAAATATCTCTATAAGGAATTGACCTACAAGGCTGTTGCTTCAATTTCTTTGTTATTGTTTGAAATGGAAAATGAAAATGATCATGCTTGGGGGATTGGATCTGATGGTGGGAAAACAAGGAGTAGGATTATCTCCTCTCCTATTCTCATTCCCTTCCCTTCCCTCCTCTTACACATTGTTTTTTGTCTTATTGTCTCTATAAAAAAAAATAAAAAAAACCAATATAAGAAGTTGATGTGGCTTAACCGTAACTTTTCAAATAAGAGGGGAGAGAAGGGGAGAGAGATTAGGAGGGGAAAACAATCCGAAGGGTCCACTGGTGGGAAAACAAGGAGTAGGATTCTCTCCCCTCCTATTCTCATTCCCTTTTCTCCTCTCGTCTCACACATTGCTTTTTGTCTTATTGTCACTATAAAAAAAAAAAATTCAATATAAGATGTTGACGTGACTTAACCATGACTGTTCAAATAAAAGGAGAGAAAGGGAGAGAGATTAAGATGGGAAAACAATCCAAAGGTTCCACATCTAGAGATATCCTATGTTTAGTCTCAATTATCTTAGATCTGGTGGTGGGAAAGGGTCCGCATCTAGAGATCTCCTATATTTAGTTTCAATTATCTTTGTTGAATTCGCCGCCCTCATTTTGTCTACCAGTTGGAAGGTGCATGATCTCAGTTTGTCTACCAGTGGACGGTGTATGAAGATCCATATGGTTGGTTTATAATTACAGGGTGGCACTACTTTGTGAGGTGTCATTAAACATCGACCCTCAAAAACATTTACAACAAAATTTTTACCTAAAAATTGATTCTTTGAATTAAAGAATCGAAGTATAGTACTCTCTTCTCAAACAACTTGACGTGTTATGTGAGTATACACAATCGAATAAGGGAAATGATTTATTTTCATAGTATAATATAATTTAAAATACTTGTCAAAATATTTATTTTAAATCATCAATAAATAAAATAAATTTTACTTCAATAATGTATCGGATCAAATTGACAGTCTAACAAAATAACTTGATTCTATGTGCTGAAAGAGTTTAAGAGCAAATTATTTGTTACTTGGTGAATGGGTTTCGAGCTACTCGAGAAGGAGAAGATTGAGGAGAAAGTTGTTGTTTCTATCTATAAGGTGCGCATTGGGAATGCACTATGAATCAAAACTATAAGCAACAAGTAAATAGTAGTAGTAGTAGTAGTCAAAATGACTAAACCGCTTTTTACTGTTTATTTCTCGGCATCTTCCCTAAATTATGCCACGACTACCAAACCCTTTCCAGAACGTATTAAGTCCCAAGGACATCAATTATATAGGTAGAACTGTT